TGGGGAGGAACAGGCTGATAAGTTAGGTGTGTGTGTCTCATTGTATGTGCAGGTGTTGGATTTGTGCTCGGTTGATAAGCCGAGAAAAATAATCAAATGAAAGAATGAAAATAGTTGGGGAGAGAGGATCCTCCTGCTTAATACCCCTGAAGGCAGGAAAGAAACCATAAGCCTTGCCATTAGCAAGCACACTATAGTGATTGGTCTCCAACCACCTTTTAATGAGCATAAAAAAGTCATTCCTGAAGCCTTTAACAATCAAAACATTAAGAATAAAGTCCGAGCTAATACTATCAAAAGCCTTTTTTATGTCAAGTTTGATAACCATATTCCATCATCTACATTTTTTATCAAGATCTTCAAAGATTTCCTGGGCCAACAAAATATTATCAGTGATCTCCCTTCCTTATATATATCTATATATGTATGTATGTATGTATGTATATATATGTGTGTATATATATATCTGTATATATATACACACATATATATACATACATACATACATACATATATAGATATATATAAGGAAGGGAGATCACTGATAATATTTTGTTGGCCCAGGAAATCTTTGAAGATCTTGATAAAAAATGTAGATGATGGAATATGGTTATCAAACTTGACATAAAAAAGGCTTTTGATAGTATTAGCTCGGACTTTATTCTTAATGTTTTGATTGTTAAAGGCTTCAGGAATGACTTTTTTATGCTCATTAAAAGGTGGTTGGAGACCAATCACTATAGTGTGCTTGCTAATGGCAAGGCTTATGGTTTCTTTCCTGCCTTCAGGGGTATTAAGCAGGAGGATCCTCTCTCCCCAACTATTTTCATTCTTTCATTTGATTATTTTTCTCGGCTTATCAACCGAGCACAAATCCAACACCTGCACATACAATACTCTCACAATTATAAGATCTTAGTTAGCCACCTAGCTTATGCTGATGATGTTATTATCTTGACTAATGCAAGTAAAAATTTCGTTAAGGGCTTAATGAATATCTTAAAGGAATTTCAAAATTCTTCTAGCCTTCCTTTCAACAAATTTAAATGCTCTATATACTTTGGCAAATATGTTTCCAATCACATTGAAAGTTGGGCCACTGATTACACTGGTTATAAAAGTACTAAGCTCCTTATTAAATATCTTGGGGTGAATATTCTTAGGGGCAGAAGAAAGTAAAATCAATTTGATGAGGTGGAAGATAAAATTAAATCAAGGATTACGGATCGGAGAAACATTTTTTTATCTAATGGTGGTCGGCTCACCTTGCTTAAAAGTGTACTTTGCAGTTTGCCTCTTTATGCTTTGCATGTTATTAAGGCCAAAAAAGCACATTGAAAAAAATTGAAATTTTTTTTAATAAATTTCTCTGGCTTGGGTCTGGCTAATTTGGGCTAATTGGGCTAGAGTCTATATGCCTCGATCCTCTAGAGGTCTTGGATTTAAAACATTGCAGCAAATTGTTGATATCAATATATACAAGCTTTGGTTTAAATTTCGAGTGGAAAAGTCCCTTTGGGCTCAATTTTCTTATCATAAATATTATCATACTGCTCACCCATCTACTGTGACTTGGAAAACTGGTGATTCTAAACTTTGGAAGGTTATACTCCTTGCTAGAGTTGTTGCTACTCAATTTATTTTTTGGGAAGTTTGAGATGGCAAAATCTCCTTTTGGCATGACCATTTGGGCACTTCTGATCTTACTACCCTTCCACATTTAGATATTTCTTCAAACCTGTTGATTTTTGATGATTGTGATGGTGGGAATTGAAATATTAATATGTTAAGGTCCTTGGTGGGAGATTTAGCTCCTTCTATTTCTACTACCCCTATACATATAGGTGGAAGAGATAAATCTATGTGGAAATTAATTTCTACGATTCTGTTACTTAAATGTTATATAAAAATACTCATTGCTATCACAAATTGAAATGGAGCTCTTCCATATGGCATCATTTTATTTCTCCTTCGACGTCTTTTTTTCTCTAGAGATACTTACATTCCTCATTGCCTCTTGATGGCATACTTAAGCTGAAGGGACTGAAGTTGGCTTCTATTTGCTACTACTGTAAGAGAGAAGCTGAATCTTCCCATCATGCTAGGCATTTTCGGAATACTATCGGTGAGCTACTTGGTGTTTGCTGGCCTAGTCCCTTTAGTTTGAATAAACTATTAGAGGCTTGGCAAGGTGTCACCTCTCTTCCCTCTAAGATGAAATACTTTCCTTTAATGGTTCTTTGGTTCATCTGGCTTGCTAGAAATGATTATAAACATCACTCTTCTCCCCCCTCTCCTCCTACTACTACTTCTTTCATCATGGCTAATTTTTATAAAGCTACTAGAGCTATTAATAATGCTAATGCCACATCAATTTCAGATGGAAGGAAGAGACTTGTTTTGATCAGATGGTTACCACCTTTATCTGGGTGGCTTAAGGCCAACATAGATGCTAGTTCGTCTAATATAGCTGCTTGTGCTGGTGGTTTGTTTAGAGACAATAATGGGATTTGCCATGCTTTTATAAAGCTGCTAGAGCTATTAGTAATGCTAATGCCACATCTAATTCGGATGGAAGGAAGAGACCTGTTTTGGTCAGAAGGTTACCACCATTATCTTGGTGGTTTAAGGCCAACATTGATGCTAGTTGGTCTAATATAGCTACTTATGCTGGTGGTTTGTTTAGAGACTGTTATGGGCTTTTCCATGCTTTTTTTGCTTCACCTATTGTAGCCTCCACACCTCTTGAGGATGAATGTTATGTTGTTCTTTTGGCTTTAAAAGTCGCTGTCTCTTTTAATTTTAAATGTAGTATCATTGAGACTGACTCCCAATGTCTTTATGATATCCTCATCAAGAAGTCTGAGCTCGTCTGGAACATAACTTGTTTACTACAACGCATATATAATGTGATCAATAACAATCAACTTTAAATTCTCCTTACTTTCATTTATCGTGAGGGAAATACTCCTGCTGATTGACTTTCTAAGCTAAACTTAAATGAAGCCCTGGTTGACATTACCCCTCCTTTTCCCCTTAAAAGTTATATACTTAGTGATATGATGGACACTCCTTATTTAAGGAGCTAATGGAACCTTATGGTTAATTGTTTATGCTTTGTTGGGCCTGTTCTTTCTCAAGTCTCACGGTTTGTGGTGGGAATGCTAGTTTCTTCTATCTGGATTTTTGTTCTGTTACAGATTTTATTATGTCTTTTTTTTTTTGGACTGGACTTCTTTTGCGGCTAATGTTATTAAATGGTATACTTGATTGCCACCTCACTTGCTATACTGTTTTGCAAACCCTAACTCAATGGAGAGATTTTGCAAGTGTTATGAGAAGCATATCTGGATTAGGTTTATTTCACACTATTTGCCTCAAACCTTCCACCGAAGATCTACATGGTTGCGACATATTGCCTCTTATGGGTCAGACTCTGGTTGCTTTGAACGAAGATATTTTGGCTTTACAACTCTCACAACTAATTTTACAATGTTTTTATACATTCCTTTGGGTATTTTTTCTTGGATTGGTATACTTTATGTCGGGATACTTGTCTTTGAGATGTTATACCTTTTCGTCTTTTCTTTCTTTATTTCTTTGTGTGGATTTGTAATGCAAAAGGAAGAACCCCTAGGACGCTATATATTCCTTTTTGTTTTTAGTGGCGATCCTCTTTC